TGTTGTTGTTGTTGTTGTTTGAGAAAGGGTTTCACTATGTAGTTGAGACTGACCTGGAACTGACTGTGTAGGTCAGGCTGGTCTCGAACTCACAGCGCTCCTCCTGCCTCAGCCTCCCCGAGTGCTGGGATTACAGGCATGTGCCACCATGCCCAGCAAAAGTGAACTTCTTAATCGGCTTAAATTGAGGAAGTTATCCATATAGGGTAAAAAAGATGAACAGAATAATAATGGTGAAGAATAGTCATGTCTTTTCTGGAGATGGGTAGAAATTTTCTGGGAATTTAGGGACCACTATTTTCTCCTTTTATGGCTCTGCCTGATGGTCATCAGGGAAACTTTGCTGCCATGGTTGGCGGGGGGTGTCCTTCAGCATGTGGGTAGCATTAGAATGAAGTTAGAGGCTGACTCTAGTCACCCTAGCAGGCATCTTAGACCCAGCCAATTTTGCTTATCCCATGTGAAGAGGGACCTCAAGCCTCTAGGCATCCTGTCCTCAAAGAGAGTCAATTGTGGAGGGTGGGCTAGAAATTAGTCATCAAAAAGGCCATACAAGATCGGAGCAGGGTAACATGGATATGCCATTTTCTCTCTTATTAGTTCTTTCAACAAGCTGCAAGGTAGATATTATTATTTCTGTTTTGCAAATAAGGAATCTGGGGTACAGAGCAGGGAAGTAATTTATCCAAGGATGCACAGCTTATGAGTAACAGTCCTGAGTTAGAAGCCTTGTCTCCCGGCTCTGAAAGCCTGTGTTGTTTCTCTACAGTGCACTGATGCGGTGGCACTTGGACCATTCTAATCACATATGAACAGCTGTCAGCCAGGTTTCCCTTGTACTATTCTTGTGCCTTTTTGAAAAATTATGTTTTGCTTTTGGTTATAAAATAATATTTACTCACTGTAGGCAAATTAGTAGAACAACAACAACAACAAAAACATAAAAGACAAGAACAGTTCTATTCACAAACCTATAGCAAAGTTAACCATCTATTAACATCTAATGTATCTTTTTACAGTGTTGTTTCTGTGCATATACGGAATTGAATCCCAGTGGAATGGCTGCTATCTGATCATTTTGATTGACAAAAGAAGGGCAATTTCCTATCATTCGACCTGGTGCTTTTGTACACAGTGGGTATCACACCACATGTGTAAAATTTGCACTCTGCTTTTTCATATAACAATGCATCAGTATGTTTGGACTTCTTTAAATGCTTTTGGAGAACAACATTTTAGCAGGGATATCATATTAAAGTCATTTGAGTTTAAAACAATTCAGTTAACTCTTTGTCTGTTGATAGACATTTGGGGTTTTAAACAAATATCTTTATATATAAATCTGTTTTTATATTTCTTTTTTTTCCTCATTGAGTTTTTTGGTACATTTTAGGTATACAGTACAGTTACATTCATCACTAGGATCTTGTACCTTTACATGACAGGTCTTGGTTCTCATTTTTCCCCTTACCCTGCCCTCCCTTCACCCCCTCCTCCCTTTATATTTCTAACTACAGTCCTTTCTCAGCATCCAAAGAGGATAGGATGGGCTTCAGTACCCTACAGATTCCTAAATCAGAGGATGCTCAAGTCCCTTACATGAAATAGCATAGAATCTGTGCACATCCTCCTTTGAATTTAAAAGTGTCTTGATGTGACTTGTAACACCTAATACAATGTAAATGCTGCATAAGCAATCGTTTGCTGTGTTGTTTAGGGAAGAGTAACAAGAAAAAAAATCTGTAAAAGCTCAGTACAGAAGCAAATTAAAAAAACTATTTCCTGTCAGTTAAATCTATGGTATACCACAAATACACAATCTATAGATATACCACAAATACAGAAGGATAACTATTAAAGTTAACTCATGGAGTTGAACGAAGGACAATAGAAATGGATATTTTGGCTGGGCATGGTGGCACACACCTGTAATCCCAACACTCAGAGAAACTGAAGCAGGAGGATCACAAGTTCAAGCCCAGCCTGAGTAACTTCAGCAACTTAAAAAAACCCTGTATCAAAATAAAAAATAAAAATGGGTTGTGGATGTAGCTCCCCAGTACTGGAACAAAAACAAACAAGCAAACAAAGAAATTATTATTTCAAGTGTTCCTGATACTTATTTCTATATTACCTTCTATACTGTATCCAATTTCTCAGTTCCACAATACCCTTCCTGGATAGAATATTATTATTCATAGTTATTTGTTCATTGGGGTGGTTAAAGAAAGTATCATTGTTTTTTAGTTCTCTTTTCCTGAGGTGATGGTTCGGTTCTACTTCCTGGTGAGAGAATTTATCTGGAGCTTTTCAACAGTGGGATTCTGGGTGTCTTAAGGACATTGACAAACTGGAGTATATTAATTGAGCTAAATGGTGAAAGGTCTGGAAAGAAAGACCTTGAATGCTGGGAAGATAAGTGAGGGACTCATGCACAAAAAAAAGCTTTATTTGAAAACAAGTAATCTCTGCAACTTTTCTATTTAAGACTCATCTTATGGACAAGAGAAACTTAGTTTACTTTACATGGCTCCAGATAGAAGAAGAAGGACCAGTAGGAACAATAGAAAAAGTAGCCAATTTTAGCTTCACATTAAAATAACTGATACTTTGCACCAAAACAACTTGCCCAGAAAACAGTAAGCTCCTGTCCCTAGAGGTATTCAAGCAAAGGCTTAGATGCAGCCTGTTGGTAAGAGGGCCTACACATAGGATGGAAGTTTGAGTAGGCAGCAGGCAACCCCAAGAACTTGTCCAAAGTAAAAGGTTAGGATGTTCAGGATCTGTGCATGGTGCCCTTGGGTGTGATCAGCAGGGCTGGGGTCTTGAACTGCCTGAAGCAGGTGCACTGAGGCCCAGAAAGGCCGCCAGATGGGTGGGCAGGGCTGATGTGTGTCTCTCCTCAGCACGTGTTCCTGCTGAAACTGAAAGTCATGTACACCGTGGGCTACAGCGCCTCCCTCGTCATGCTCCTGGTCGCCCTCAGCATCCTGTGTGCTTTCCGGTAAGAACAGGCTGCCATCTCTCATCTCTGTCCCCTCCCAGGCAGACTTTTGGTCTCTGCTTAAAAGCTCAGGACAGAAGGAGGAAGTGTCTAGGTGGGCTGCCTTGTCATCTATCTAAAGCTTTCTTGGGCAAAACTGAAGTTCCAGGGGGCCACATTAGATCCTCTACTCATTCAACATTCAGCAAGCATTACTGAGAGTTTAATGAGGCCATCTATTATTTCTAATTTTCTCATGATACTACAAGACAGCTATTATTACCTCCACCTTGCAGGTGTTTAGTTGGACTCTCAGTTGCCAGACACAGAAATCCATCTCAGCCTGAGAAAACAAAGGTGACCCTACCCACGTCACTAGCAAATCCAGGAGCATCTCCTTTAGTTGTGGCTGAATACAGGTGCTCAGGGCCACAGCAGAACTGGGTCTGTCACTCTCCATTTCTGGGCTCTGGGTTGGTCTCATCCTGGGCAGGCTCTCTGCGGAAATGGAAAGGACAAACAGCAGTGGCTGAAGGGGCAAATTTTACCAGCTCAGCAAAACCAGGGACAGATAGACTCTTCTTCTTAGGTTTTAGTAGAAGTTCCAGGGACTTCTCATTGGCTCACATGCCCCGCTCTGAGCCAATCATTGTGGCCAGAGATGGAAAAAGAGTTCTGATTGGTCAGGTCTATCATGAAGGTGAAGAGCACCCAATCAGCTCCACTCAGAGTGGAATGAGTTCTCCATAAGAAATCTGATGTCTGGTGCCAGAATAAGGGGAACAAGTAACAGACTTTGGGTTTCTACAACAGAGGAAACAATGGTGGCTGGAGATGATGGTAAGCTAGAATATAAATTGCCCCTACACACCTAGCTTTAAAAAGAAAAATACTTCAGTGTGGGACAGAATCCATTGGGCGCCTGTGGTCTGGAGACTTCTTTTAGGTTCTTCTAACAGAAATATGACCCAGAAAGGGCTGATGTCCAAGGCCTCAGTTTCCCCAGTGCAGGGCACAGGGGGCCTGGCTGAGTCCTCATAGACCTGCTCTCTCTCCCTCCAGGAGGCTCCACTGCACCCGCAACTACATCCACATGCACCTGTTCGTGTCCTTCATCCTGCGTGCGCTGTCCAACTTCATCAAAGATGCTGTGCTCTTCTCCTCGGATGACGTCACCTACTGTGATGCCCACAGGGTAACACGCCTGGGTGGCCCAGGCCTGCCTGCCTCCCCCGCCTTAAAGAGGGCCATAGCCCAATTGTGCTAAAGCGTTCTCCTTCCAAATGCCCAGATCACTTATGATTTGTTGCGCCCGCTCTGTGTCACCTAAGAATCACTTTCGCTGTAATAACAAAAAACTGTTGATCACTGTTTAAACAAATGGTGGCTGTTTCCCACATAAGCAGTCCGCGGGTGGGTATCTAGAGGTACACAGCATCACTGTGATGTCTGCTCTGCTCTGCCGTCCTTAGTGTAGGCCTTGATCTCAAGCTTTACACGACATGGCCGTGATATGGCTTCTGCAACCTCTGGCTGCCTATCCATGCTGTAGCAAAGGAGGAAGCTCAAAGGTCAAGCAGTTTTCTTTTTAGGAGGCTTTTCTAAAATTATCTTCCCAGGGACTCATCCCTATACTTCATTGATTAGAACTTTTTACTATCTTTTTCTATCACAGTCTCAATAGCAGAGGTAAGCAAGGGAGAAAGACTGGAAATTGAAATTGATTCAGCCAATCTACCTGCTACTTCCCACCAGTCACATCTGTTTATATTGGAGCGAGGGGTGGGAGAAGAGAGAGAGACCACATTTACTGACTCAGGCTGAGTGGCTTCTTTTGTAGAATCGTATCTCTCTAGGATCAAACAAGAGATCCAGGCTGGAAGTCTGCACACTTTAATTCTGCCACTCTTGTATTACTGAGCAGCATAGGACAAATCTAGCAGTGCCCTTATTGTGTTCTCCTAAGCATCAGACTCACAGGCCATGGATGGCTGTGCTGGGACTTAGAGGAAGGCCATAAGGCAGGGCCACAGCCAGCCAGTAGTGTGCTACTGGGGCCTCTTCTTACTTGGGTTTGGTCTCATGGCACAGCTCTAGGCCTATCCTTGGAGCTGTCCTCTCCCCAGAGGCCAGCTTGGCACAAAGAAGGGAGACTCAGATAATACAGGAGCCAGAGCTTCACAGGGGTAGGAGACTCTGCCCATAGTAACCTGGGCACAGCCCAGGCATCCCTGTAGGGGATGTGCCCATTGAAAGAATCACCCAGTGTGGCTTTCCTCTTGGGCATTGTTGGTCTCCAGTAAGACGTCTTTTGCCACAGTCACTGTTGCTTCCTAGCATAGCTGACACACCCCTTCACCATGTTTCTAGGGACCCTGAGCTTAGAAAGCTTGTCATCTTGGCTCAGAAATCTCATCCCTCTCTAAACTTCAGATTCCTTATCAGACACAGCTTTTCAGGTGAAGAAATATCTTCCTCACGAAGCCTGGCAGCTGGTTCCAGAATTTGAAAGTAGTTCCTTTCCTGTGATGCCTCCTTGGCCATCTTGACTGGCCCCATGGGGCTGTGGACTCCTCTCTCTCCAGAATTCTGTGCATCTCTTGACAGAGGAAAGGCATAAGAAATGGCCTTGAACCCTGAGGCTCACCCTGTGGCCTTGCCCCTGCCTCCCATAGTACCCTGTTGCTTCCTCTGGGGCTGGTCACCAGATGGAAGCCCATTGCCACCTGGCCTGGCCTCACCTGCCTCTCTCTGTCCAGGTGGGCTGTAAGCTGGTCATGGTCTTCTTCCAGTACTGCATCATGGCGAATTATGCCTGGTTGCTGGTGGAAGGTCTGTACCTTCACACACTCCTCGTCACCTCCTTCTTCTCAGAGAGGAAGTGCCTTCAGGAATTCGTGGCCCTCGGATGGGGTATGTTTCTCTACTGCATGGTACCTGTGCGGTAAGCAGGAAAGGACACTGAGCAGGATTTGCTTTCTTGCTCCACATCTAACTAACTTGTCTAATTTTCTGCAAGTTGCTTGGTGTCTAACTCTCCAGTTATTTATCTGTGAAATGCAAATATAGATAAAATTTAGCACCAATTTCTGGCACCCAAAGCCTTTTACGATTTAGTTCTACCCAGTAATTGTTGCCTTATCTTCATAGCCAGTTCATTTGCATGTCCTCTTTCTTGCTTTCTGTTTATTTCAGGATACTTTCAACAGCTGATTTCAAAATCCTGCCTCAGACAGGCTTCACGTATAAAGGAAATTAATTGGCTCCTATAAATGACAAGCCTAGGGATCACCAACTTCAGACAGGCTAAATCCAGCATTTAGCAATGGTTCCTCCTCCTGTCTCTCTTTTTTGCTTTTTGGAATGTCTTCTTTCTCCTAGGGTGGTGCTTCCAGTGTAATTGCCAGCAGCTTCTGGGCTACATGCTTCTTTGTTACTTAGCTATAATAAGAGAAAGTTAGACCATGTTCCAGCTTTCAAAGCAAGTATTCTGAACTTCACTCTGAATGGACCACTGAAATCTCATGCACGTCCTTGAACTAATCACAAAAACTTGAGAGACCAGAATGTGCTGATGAATGTATGCTACTCAAATCTCATGGCTTCCTAAAGGAAATTCGGGATTCAGTTTTTAGGAAAGAGAGATGATAGCAAGACAACCTCCTGTAGGTCCCTGTGATATCTCTTCCTCCTTTCCTTTCTGGTCAGAGAATACAGTAAAAACTCCCATTTCTTGAGTACATACTATATCCATCCTTCTATTCATCCATCCATCCATCTACTATTCATTTGATAAACATACATATAAGTTATCCACTGAGTTAGAGCAAAGAGCCACTTTCTTGTGAGGGAGCCACTGGCTTATAGAGATGATCATGTGGTGCCAGCCATTAGCTTCATTTGATTTTGTCCTGGTACCTTTGATTAAGAAGTGTCCCTGCCAGTAATGCCCTCTCCTTCCTTTTCTGCTTGTCTAAATCCTTACATGCAAAGGCCAGAACCCCTGTTATACCAGCAGGGAGGCCGCCTGAACCAGCACAGCACACTGAGCCCTCCTGCTTCTGAACCTTGGCATCCTGGTTAGCACGGGACCCTCAGGCAGCAGGAGCACAGCTGTGCGGATGTCTGCAGAGCCAGTAGTCCCAGAGGCCTGGGGTCCAGGAACTTGCCTTATGCAGGTGACTGCCAAAAAGCACCCCATTTGGAGCTCAGTTCACTGAGCTGTGAACCCCAAATATGCCAGGATTTAGCTGTATGAACATGGGTAGTTTTCTCTTCTCTAATGGCAGGATCATGGTTTCCTCAGCATTCTTTGAACACTTCCTTTTGTCCAGAGATTACAAAAATATAGAGATGACAAAGAAAAAAATAATTCTGTCGCACAAAGGATTTGTAATCCAGTGGGAGACCAAATTACATTGTGATAATATGTCTGAGTTTAAAAAGAAATTACACAAAGTATAGAAAACATTCCTTTCTTCTTTGAACACCTAATGAGTATCTGCTGTATGGCAAGCCCCATGCTGGGCTCCAGGGGATTTTGTGCTTATACCACAGCAGCAATTCCTTCCCTCAGGGGCTGTCCGCCCATGAAGCCTCAAAGAGACCCTTGTGAAGGGGATTTGGAAGGCCTAAAGCCCTCCATCTGTGAGAATCGTTTCTCATGCAAAAGTAATGGCCTTCCCTCCGTTTTCTTAGAATTGTTTAAATGGGTACATGCGCCATATAAAACTGCAAGGAAAACAATCCTTTCCTTCTTTCTCTCTCCCTCCCTCTCTGCCTCCCTCCCTCCTTCCCCCTTCTCTTCCCTTCCCTTCCTTTCTTGTGGTACTGGCTATTAAACCTGTGGCCTTCACATTGAGCTACATCCCCAGCCTAATTTTTATTTTTTATTTTGAGACGGGGTCACACAAAGTTGCTAAATTGCCCTGACTGGGCCCACTTTGGGTTTTTAATGCTTGTTCAAAGCTCTTGCTTTTTTACTGTGACAGAGATGTCAGTCTGTGCCCAGGTAAGAGTGACACTCTGGCTTCCATGGTGGATGAGCCAAGCTCCCAGCCAGCAGCTGAACTTGGACATGTGCTCTGTTGGTCCTGCGTCAGCATCATGGGATGCCAGAGTATGAGTCAGTGGCTCTAGGGGAGGCCCCGACACCACATGTCTATCAGGTTCACCAGCAGTGCTGATTCTGTTGGTCCAGGAACTGTCTGAGGACCACTGACTTAAACAACTATTACTTTTTAAAACCACTAGTTTGTTGCTAAGGACAGAAGCCAATTAACAGGTACCCTTTGAAATCCATGGCCTGTGCTGAAAGCACTCAAAATTGAGGCAGGTATTTCTTTTTAATGTTTTTTTGCTTGTTTGTTTTTGTTTTTTAACCAAAACTGTACATATACTTGTGTTAAAGAATTAACTGGGACTAGAAGATTTTTAATGAACAAAAACAGCCTCCTGCTCCCACTTCCTGGTCCGGAGGCAATGTTCTCCCACTCTTGCTCTTTGTTTGTGGTTCTGGGGATGGAACCAGGCCTAGTCCACGCTAGGCAAGTGCTATACCTCTGAGGTACACCTCAGCCTACCTTTCAGCTCTTTCAGCTGTTCCTCCTAATAGTGGCTCTTGTCCTTCTAGACAATATGCCACTCTTTCTTCATCTGTTCTTTTGAGGTATTATTTGTTGATCCTTCAGGATGAAAGATAAGAATATGAAGTTTTTCCTCCACTAGCCCCACTCTTCCATTATTCTTCATAATTTGTGGTTAAATCTTATTAAATGTGTACATTAGTATACCTATGTAAATATTGTGTACTACTGAGACAATTGGTATACAATGATTTTTCTTTCAATTCATTTAATGTTTTATTTATCTGGAGTAATTTATTATTTTTATATCGCTGTCATTAATTCTCCCAAATCTCTGGAAAACTCTCTAGTATTATTTTCCAAATCATCAACTGCAATGGAAGTCTGTCAAATCCTATTTATTTTGTCAACCTCAATTTAAAAAATCAACCAGAGGGATATTCTTCTAAGAATAATGACATTGGGCTGGGGATTTAGCTCAGTGGTTCCACCTCCTGCCTCACAAGTACAAGGACCCAAGTTCTATCCCTGGTACCAAAAAAACAAACAAAACCAAGAATAATGACATTTATTTGGGAATACATGTGCCACAGTAAACTGGGGTGTGTTCAAAGAATTTGAGTAAGAAGAAGTTTTAAAGACAAAAATGAGAAGGATTGAATCAGATATTTTAAAACAATCATTTTGGCCACCGTTATTAATAACAGAAGCGATGTTAGTCTGAGGTTGAACAGTTATTTGCTGCACAGATGTCCTTGAGGAAGTGTGTTTTGTGTAAGGTTGTGGTGACCTCTGTGCAAACTTGTAGTTCTGGAAGAGTCTTTTGTGATAGTTATTGTGTCTAAGAATCCTTCATAAGCTCCCAGCTTTTTTTTTTTTTTTTGGTTAGAGTTGACATAAGTGATCCCATTTTGATTCTGACAACTTTCACATTTCTTTCCATTTGTTCCCTGCTATGTCAATTTCCTAGGGCTTCCATAACAAATTGCCACTGTTGCGGAAGGAATCGGTAAGTGACACACATGTAGAGATGCAGAATGGAAGAAAAATAACAAAAGGTTTATTCTGCCAGCAAAAGGCTGATTGCACCCAAAAGCAGTGCTAGAGATCAACTCCATACTGGACTATAGCTTCCCCTTTTATAGGGTCTTACAGCCATGGTCTTATTCAGGTAGTTACATTTCATTCTCTCAGTTCACATTGCTGATATACAAATCATGGTTACAAGACAGTTAACTTTAACCCAGATGTAGCAAATCTTTGTAGACAGGGAGTTTACCTTTAAAATTCATCTAGCTACTATATATATTATATATATATATTAATATTATTATATTATTTTTATTCCAAAATATTCAAATAAAATGCATTAGTGTTTTGTTTTTATTCTTCTACATCTACAGACTAGTTACATTACAAAAAAACCTGATAAAACACAAAATGAAGACAACATGGCATCAAAATCTAAGGATCATCTTCCTAATGAGATAATTGACAATGTGAAATAGGAAGAAAAGGGCTAAAGGTGTAGGGAAAGTGGGAAGGGTAGGGGAAAGGTAATAAGGGAAAAGAAAAAAATATGAGAAAATGAAAATAAAGTGTTTGTAAATGGGGAGGGGAGGAGGGGGTGAAGGGAGGACGGGTCAGGGGAAAAATGAGAATCAAGACTTGTCATGTAAAGGTACAAGATCCCAATAATGAATGTAACTGTACTGTACACCTAAAATATACCAGTAAACTCAATGAGAAAAAAAAAAGATTCATCTAGATCTAGCTATCTATTCTAGCCCAGGGGAAGGAGGTGTGCCCAGTTAGCAAAGCAAAGTTAATGATGATTCTTTTCATCTTGACCTTTACAGTCATGTAGTTTATAAAACTTTGAGCTCAGGGTTCTCGATGTGCCCTGCTATCTCAGGATGAGGCCAGATGTCCCATTCTATGGTTCATGCCTCTTGTGTCTGTTAATTTTGAACTAAACAAAGCAGATTTCAGCTAGAAGAGCAGAAGTCATCCTACATTTTCCTAACATTTTGTAGGTCTTGGTTATTCACAGAACTTTTCTCTATCACCACTAAACTGATGACTTGAAACAACAAAAGTGTCTTCTTTCACAGTTCTGGAGGCCAGAAGTCTGAAACCAAGAAGTTGGCAGGTTGGTTCCTACTGGAACCTGTGAGGGGCATCTGCTCCCTGTCTCCTCCTGGCTGCTGGTGTTGCTGCTGGTTTGTAGCATTCCTTGGCTTGTAGCCACATTACTCCCATTCTTGTCTTTATGTGGATTTCTTCCTTTAGTTGTCTGTGTCTCATGGCCTTATGGGTTTGCTGGTCATATAGGACTAGGATCCCATGCTAATCCAGTGTAACTTCATTTTAACTAATTATATCTTCAAAGATCCTGCTTAAAAATAAGGTTATCTTCCAGAGTTCTTGTTGGACCTGGATTTGGGGGACACTATTGAATTCAATATATCTGCCACTGTTCTTTCTCGAGCTTTGTCTCTTCTGCTTGATTGCAGCTGGTTATTTCTAGACTTGCTCAGCAACTTGAATCTTTAGTAGGGTATTTTCTTCATCTTCCTCTACAAATCCTGTTTCCTTTATTTCTTGTTGCCCTCTCTTTGATTTACTCTCTCCTGTGTTGAAGCACATCCTCCAATATCTGTCTAACAAAGAGGACCTGGAAGGACATTTTTTACAGTGCATATCTGAAAATATCTTTGTTCCACTTTCACACCTACTTTGTTGGGCATAGACTAACAGGTTAAAAACTCACGTGCCCCAGAATTTTGAAGGCCTTGTATTTTGGCATCTGGTGTTAGGGGAAGTGCCATACCATTCCTGAGCATTTTCTCACTTCTCCATATATAAAATGCAAAGATTGCAGCCAGGTGTGGTGGCACATGCCTGCAATCCAGGCATTCATGAAACTGAGGCATAAGGATTACAAGTTTGAGGTCAGCTTGGCCTACAAAAACTAAAACTAAAACAAAACGAAATAAAGCCAGAATGTAAGGACATGGGCAGGAGTTGAGGGAACTCTGTGGTAGAGCATTTGCCTAGCACACATGAGGCCCTAGGTGTATGAGGCCTAGCATGTATGAGGCTCCAGCACTGCAAAAAGTAAATAAAATGTAGGCTATTCTATCTGTGATTTGCAGTGTTACAAGAATGTGTTCTGGTGCAAATCTTTTTTTAATCCTCCATTTTGCTGGCACATGGCGCCTCTTTCATCTGAAAATGTCCTCATTTTTCAAAAATGTTCCTATGTCATCTGTTGGATCATTTATTTCCCTCCAATTTTTATTCTTCTTTTCTGAAATTCCTTTTAGTTAGATGGTGCTTATTCTGGAATGAACAACCTCTAATTTTTGAATTTCCTACTTAGCATTCCAGTGACTTTTTGTTCTGCTTTCTGGGAGAATCCTAGTCTTTATCTTCCAAGCCATCTGTTGAACTTTTAATTTTGGTCACTAGATATCCAGTTTCTGCACCCTCTTTCTTGGTCTTGGAATGCTCCTGGTTGAAGTATCCTGTGTGTATCTTCTAGATGAAATGATTTCCATCTCTCTCATGATATTTCCCTAGAGCTATTTTGTTCAAGTTCCCTTTGTCCCCTGTTATGGTCTCTTTCCTCTGAATTCCTTTTCTCTGATTGTTTTGTTCCTACTCTTTTATATAATCAGATGCCAGTGACCTTGAACATGACATGTCTGTTCATGTTTAAGGATGAATCACTTTACAGCTGTCCACAGCTTCTCTAGATGATGGGACTTATCTCTTAAGGGAGTGGGGTGGAAATGGCCACTGTGTTGGGGCCCCAAAGCATTATTATCTCTAAGTCCTTTGTCTGGGACTATTCAGTTTCTCCAAAAAAAGGTCTCTTTACTCCCTGCCTAGGGCTGTGAGTAGGAGCAAGAGTTGACATAGAAACCCAGCTGCTAGAGCTCTGAAAATAAACAGGCCTAAGGGCTAGGCTTTTTCCATCTGGCATATGAACAGGGATATCCATTAGAAATAGATATAGAAATAGATGACCGTTTCTTTTATCCTCAATCATCAGCCTTTATAATTCTTCCCCATAAAACAGATTTGTTCTATTCATTACTATAGTCACGGGCTACATGTGGCCCCTGAACTCTAGAAATATGGTCAGTTCAGTGGAGATGTGCTGTGAGTATAAAATACACATGCAATGTTTATGAATTAGTATGGAAAAAGCTGTGAAATCTCATTAATAATTTTGTAATACTTAGTACTATTGAAACAATATTTTGCATACATTGGGTTAAATAAAATACATCACTAAAATTTTTGTAAAAAAGAAAGACATAGAATGAGAGTCACATATAGAACTTTTAAAGGCCAGGCATAGTGCTATGTGCCTATTTGCTCAATACTTGAAAGCCTAAGGCAGGAGGATTTCTTGAGCCCAAGAGTTTTTATCCAGCCTGAGAAACATAATGAGACTCTCACTCTTAAAAAAGAAAAACAAAAGTGGTATAGCTCAGCATTTGCTTAACATGTATGAGGCCTGGGTTTAAACCCAGCACTGCAGATAATAACAACAACAATAATAATAATTTTAAAAGTTTGTAGCAGCCACAGTAAACGTATCAGAAAAGAAACAGAGATAATATTCTCTAAATCAGTGTAACTGACAGGCCCCCAAGTTGGAGCCCCTGCCCAAACAGACCCACTGTGTGCATCCACAGAAGCACATAGATAACAGGGAGCTAACAACCACCCTGCTGCTCCTACCACTGCCCTGCTTATCAGTCAGCCCCAGGACCATCACCCGTGGGAGTCTAAAATTTTCCTTCTCTCGACCAGTGCCCCCTCCCCTACCTAAACTCCACCATATCGACCTTGCACACCCTCCTTTTAGTGCCAATGGCCTTTTCGTCCTTGGCTCATCTGCACTCAGACAGCAGTAAACTCATCGCATGTTGCTTGAACGTTGCCTGTCTCAGGGGTCTCAATCATGCCTCATTCTGACCTTACAGTAACCAGAATAGTATCATTTCAGTTGTCCTCAACATAAAAATTCTTACTGATGTATTTTGTATTAATTCATTGGTACTCTGTACATCTCACCTCTAGGACCGGCTACCTAAGTGCTCAGTAGCTACAGGTGGCCGAGGGCTGCATACTGCACAGTGCAGATGGCGATGGCAGTGTCACTCATGCATTCAATGAGCTCTGTTCCTGGCCTCTGCTGGGCCAAAGCCCCTGTTCTCTGACTCAGTTTCTCTCTGTGGGACACACACAGCTGACTCTGGTTTCCCGAGGGTAGTGTTGGCCCCCTGTAGTGGTCATGTGTTTCTCATCCACATTTCCAAACCACCTGTGATCCAACCCCAATCCTGCCTCCTAGGGTCCCTGTGCCTGGGCCCCAGAGCACCCCCAGGACTTTCCCAGATCACTGCCCCCACACAACATGTATGTTTCAGCTTTCAGCTCTGCAGCAATGACATCGATTATCACTCTTGTGCCAGCTTTGCATGTTCTTAAATGTGTTGACAATTCTTCTCCACTCCCGCTTTCCTTCCCAGTCTTTGTGCTTATGGACTTCTGTGATTTCTTCTTCCTCTTCTCCTTTTCCTCCTTCTCATTCTCCTTTTCTTTCCCTTTTTGTGCCCCTTCCCCTCTTCTTCCAGTGCTGGGACTGGAACTCAGGGGCTCGAGTATGATAGGAAGCACTCGGCAACCTGAGCTACAGCTGCTGCCCCAATTTCTCTTTCTTTACTATGATTTTGGAGGGATTTCCACATTTTAAGGGGAAGTAGAAATATGTAAGCTCAGTTTGCCATGTTCAAGAAATGAACAATTTGCAGAAGTCAAGAAATGTTTTTGTTCCTTTAAAAAATTTGTATTAGTACATGTTTTCAGTACATGCAGTTTACAATCATCTTGGGGAGTTGGTGCATATATATAATACAGCTCTTTCTCGTTCTGATCTCTTTCCTCCCTCTCCCTCCCACCTCCTTCAGTTTTCCTTTCCCCCTTTTCTTTCTTAGTATTATTAATTGTACTTCATGTTGATAGCATATAATGTCCTTATTTGTTGAGGTCATTAAGACCTTGTACATGGTGTATCTTCACTTACCTATTTCCCCATTCTTCACCCTCAGCCTCCCCCTTCACCTTCCACTTTCCCCCTTGGTCTCCCGGACCCCTTCCTGTCTGCAACATATTCATTATGGAAATCATTATGGAAATTTCTCAAAGAACTGAAATTAGAAATTTCATTTGACCCAGTTATCCCCCTTCTAGGTATCTTCCCCAAAGAGTTTAAGCCATCATACTACAGTGATACATGCATACCAATGTAGCACAATTCATAATAGAAAAATTCTGGAAACAGTCTGTATGCCTATCAACAGATGACTGGATAAAGAGAATGTGGTATCTATATATACTTGGTTATAAAGAAGGACAAATTTGAGACATTTGTAAGAAAATGGATGCACTTGGGAAATATAACATTTTTGTATTTTATCTTTTAAATTCACGAGCATTTTCTCTTCTCTGAAATGAAATGTACTTTTGCATCAATATGACAGTGATGGTTTTCATTACTAGTTAGATAGCCAAGGTTTTTTTTTCCCCCTGGAACCGGGGATCGAACTTGGGTCCTTGCACTTGCGAGGCAGGTGGTGGAACTACCGAGCTAAATCCCTGGCCCCAGCTAGCCAAGCTTTTTACAAACCAGTATTTTAATAAAAGTGATGCTTTGTCCATGACCTGAGCTACTGTTGTGCTACCCACACACTCTGGCAGCCGTACCCTGGTTCCACAAAGAGAGGCCCCCAGTTGCCATGGGCTCCATGTACATGCTCCAGTGTCCAGTCCCTTCTCTTCTCCACAGGGGTTCCCTAGAGTCTGGCCCAGGTTCCCTGCAAACCTGGAATCCCACATGGCCTTTAGGCTCCATCCGATCCGGCTCCCACTCCCCCAGCACCCTCAGACTCCTTAAAGCCTGGGACTACGTTTGGATACAAAGTGGCAAAAAGATTGGAAATCAAACCTGGGCACCCGCTCCTCAAGCATATGTTGAAGAATGAATCCTCCCTCTTCTCTCTCCTTTTGTTTCTAATCCTCAGGTTCTCCAGCCATCTTTGTGACTTCATGGGCTATCACCAGGCACTTTCTGGAAGATGTTGGGTAAGCTGTCAGAAGGAGAGGTAACAAATACACAGTAGGTCCTCCATATCTGTGGGCTCTGCATCCACTAATGCAGCCAAGGGTTGAAAATATTTTTTGAAAAATTGGCCTTCACTGAACAAGTATAGATGTCTTTTCTTGTCATCATTCTCTATGCCAAACCATATACTGTATCATGAGCCAGCCTTTACTTTGTATGGGGTATTCTAAGTGATCACTTAAAGTATACAGGAGGGAGTGTTTAGGCCGTGATCATACGCTGTGGCATTCTGTATAAAGGATGTGAGCATCTGTAGATTTGGTACCAACAGAAGGTTGTGAAACCCATTTCCCGTGGATACCGATGGACAACTGTATTTGGCATCATCCCGTTCTTCAAATAGCATAGATATTTCCTTGGAGCTCTCCAGGAAGAGCCAGTTTCTCGCGTTAGGGTCACAGGTGAGCAGCCCACCACTGGAACAATTGCCACTGCTCCCCAGCTGAGAGCTTCCAGGTGGGCCATGCCTGTAGGGACAGCTCTGTGTTTAAGTCAGGTGCCAGACCAGAGTGCTGCTCAGTAGAGGAAGCCCAAGAAAGGGCCAACCCAGCTTCCTACCCTCTGGGACGCCCTCCCAGACCGTCCCCACTCCTGAACCTCAGCGGCATTCTCAGCTCCTGGGAGTGCGCTACCACTATGATGGTGAACGGAGTGGGCCTTGGTCCTGTTCTCTAACGGAATGAAGAAGGCAGAGTAAGTTCTAGCCAGCTTTTGAGGAGGTGTAGCAAAAGGAGCACGAGACAGGCCAGAAAGTGAGGCAGCACCATGGGAGGGAGCCTGTTTCTCAAGGGCCTAGTAGCACAGCCGGCTAATAAGTAGATTAGGCTGGGTGAGGTTTCTGTGTCTTTTCATCCAAATTTGGCCCAAAATAATTCTTCCAAAATAACATTTTAAATGAGCAAGTTGCCTGCCTGCCTGATTGCCTTCATTCCTTTTTTCCTTCCTTCTCCCTTCCCTCTTCCTCCCTCCCTTGGTCCCTTCCTTCCTTCCTTCCTTTTTCTGTGGTTCCAGGGATTGAACCCAGGGCCCTCACACTGAGCTACACCCCAGCCCTTTTTTAATTTATTATTTTTAGACAGAGTTACTCTAAGTTGCTGAGTTGTCCAAACCAGGTTCAAACTTGGGATCCTGCCCAAGCCTCTCAGTGCTGTGATCACAGGCAGGTGCCACCACACCTTAGATTTTTTTTTTTTTTTTTTTTTTTTTTTTACAGTCTTGCCATGTAGCTCAGGCTGTCCTTAAACTCACCATGTACCCCAGGATAGCCTTGAATTCACAGTGATCCACCTCCCTCAGCCTCCTAGGCACTGGGATCACAGCTGTGTGCCACCACACCTGGCTGGCTTAGATTTTTCCAAATTCCACATCTTCAGCCTCTTCAAAAATTGTAAAGTGGTGCACACCTGTAATCCCAGCACTCGGGGAGGCTGAGGCAGGAGGATCACTGTGAGTTTGAGACCAGCCTGGGCTACATAGTGAGTTCTGGGTCAGTCTCAACTACATAGTGAGACCCGGTCTCAAAAAAAAAAATTGTAAAGCTCTGTTAGTATTTCTCATTTCCCCTCATGGCAGAAATCATTTGGAGTAGAACTGCAGTTGCCTTGGACCAAGCACATGCTCTTATTGGCCAGTCACCCCCGCGCTTGATATGCCCAGGTCCTGATGTCATGCCAGTCATCCAAGTGCTCACAGGGATCTCATCTTCTTGGCTTCTTAGCATCTGAGATTGCCACTGTGTACCCCAGTAAATTCTGACATAGGTGTAAGACCCAAGGTCCCTACCCCTCAGGTCCCCATGGGAGAGGGGCAAGTTCTAACAGTGCTGGGTACACAGCTGTGGGGGCTCAGAGCCACAGACCTGGGTCCTTAGTACCGAAGGATGCCCCAGGGAAGTGTGTGCCAGTCAGTCTGGCTTTCTGCTCTTAACAACTCCTGACCATCTCTCCCTCCTGTAGGTGCTGGGACATCAACACCAATGCTTCCATTTGGTGGGTCATCCGAGGGCCTGTGATCCTCTCCATCCTGGTGAGTGGCTGTCCTCCCCTGAGCCGGGGGCCAGTGAGACAGATGGGAACAGCGACAAGCTTGCAGGAACAGGGGACCTCCAGGTGCCAAGTGTTTCCTAAGAAGCAGCACTCCATTAGGAGTCCTAGACTGCCCCTAATCTTTTGTCTTTTGGCAAGTATCCCCCAGCCCTAGGCTACTTCTGCGAACGGTGAGGGTGACCCAAGGATGCCTCCACTCTCCAGGTGCTGGTGGGAGGAGGTGGATGAGGCTGCTACCATGTGGAAAAATTCTTAACCTCCCAGGCCAGGCCCTTTTATCCAACTTGAGGTTTTGTGGCTGCTAGGCAAATGCTCTACCACTGATCTACCCCCAGGCTCTTTTAAGATATTTTGTGTTTTTACACAGCAACACACCACTAAATACAGTGGATCAAAATATGATCCTTGGACCTTCGGCTTCACCTAGGAGGTTGTGCACATTCAAGCCAGGCACGGTGCTGCATCCCTGTAATATCAGTACTCTGGCAGACTGAGGCAGACGATTCCAAGTTTGAGCCTAGCATGGTCCCTTTAACAGGACCCTGTTTCAAGATTAAAAACTAAGAGAAGGGCTAGGGATAAAGCTTAGTGCAAAGACCCCAGTCTCACCCCCCAAAAAAATAACAAAAGGAAAACAAAGTTCTAAGTTTAATTTCCACCTGGGCAACTTAGGAAGACCCAGTTTAAAAATGCAAAATAGAAAACGGGCTGGGGATGTAGCTCAGTGGTACAGCATCCCTTGATTCAATCCCCTGTGCTCCCTTCACACATACAAACGCACACACACACACAAATCCTTGGGCCCTACATCTGAACCATAACCTGTGTGGATGCAGCCCAGCAGTCCATACCCTAGACCTTTGTAAGTGCTGCTGTAAAGCCTGTTCTTTGACTTACCTGGGGCTCATTAGAATTGCCAACTCTCAGCCCAGCCAGAGCCATAGTTTTCAAGATCCACAAGGATTCCAAAGCACTGCAAGTGTGACTAACCTGCTGGGCACCTGGGAAGACCCTGTAGCTCCTGCAGCCTGCGGGCAGGGTTGCTGCTTTACCCAGAGAGTTTCTCTCTGGGCACAGGGCTGGGCAGTAGTGAGATACCGTCTTGGCTGCAACAGGAAAGCAAGACACTGTCAGCCACACCTGTGCCTTGTGTTTTGCAGATCAATTTCATCTTTTTTATAAACATTCTAAGAATCCTGCTGGGAAAACTTAAAACTCAAGAAACAGGAAATGAAGTGAGCCATTACAAGTAAGTGGAAGGCAAACGCCCAGACAGTGTCAGCCATCAAGCATCTATTGAGCAACCCACTGTTTACACAACTGTTGTTAGCCAAAAAGAAAGAAAAGCTATGGACCCAGTCTCCAGAAGTTTACAGTGTATATCACAGGGATGGGGGAATGGGTCTGATTATGAGACCTCAGATGCTGCGGGGTGGAAGAATTCAGAAATCTCAAGCAAGAAGCCTGGAAGTATAGATATGATCCTTGAGGCAAGACTATGGGGTCTGCATGGGCTTTGGGAATACCAGTTTAGTCGGATTTATTTAGAAATGCATATTATCCAGAAGAAATAACTAGTCTTCATCAGATTTTTCAAGATGTGTAACTCAAAAATATTTAAAATCATAAGATGTTGAGGACAGAATGTTAGTCTGAAAGGCCTCCTATAACCAAACACCACAGAACAAAAGATGGGGTGGCTAAATAACAGCACATTGTTTTCTCATAGTCCTGGAGGCTGTAAATCCAAGATCAAGGTTCTGTTTCTTCAGAGGTCTTTCCTTTGGCTTGTGGATGGATCATTTCTTACTGTGCCCTCATGTGGTGCACACACATCTCCCTTGTCTGTATGCCTCAGTTTCCCTCTCTCATAAGGACATCAGCTGATGGTGTCAAAGTCAGCTGAGGGTTCTTTTGCTTAGCTCAGAAGGAAATCATGAATCGCCCAAGTGCGGCTCCATTACCAGCTCTGGGCTCTGAGTGCCAGTAGCCTTTGGCCCTTAGAGTTACAGCTCTTGGCAGCTCCCTGCCGCTGCTGTCAGCTCCTCCACAGCCAGGACCATAGCTCTTTTGGCAGCTTTCTGGCTTCCACTTGTCACCAAATGCCATCAGTCAAGGAGAATTGTCACGAGTCGAGTCCACACTGCCAGGCTGCTGCCTTGCACCACTGATCTGTGTTGATTGTTGCTGGTCTCTGCTGCTGGACTCCAGAACTCTTCAGGGATAGCAGCCTCTAGTGTTACCAACTCTTTTAATGCAAACTGCTCTTCCCGAACTACCTGAGACGAGCCACAAGCAGATTTACAGGACCACCCGAACAAGGCTTTATTAGGACCTACTATGCTATAGCACAGGGGATCATGCATAGAAGGGAGCCCTCCTCCACTGACCCAAGGAGTCTGAGGGGAAACTGCTGACCCAGAGAAGCAGTGGACCCACATGTGTGCAGGTCTGTACGTCTCACAGACCAGCCTGAGAACTTTCAAAATAAAGACAGAGGTGGCTAAAGGCGTGGCCACAGAAGGGTTGTTTGTTTGATAGCTGCCACATCTCTACAAAAATGGAGGGGCTGAAACTGTGACTGCTCCCTCTTTGGAGGAGTCTTTAGGAGGGTTGGCCATGTTGATCACAAACTTGGGCTCCAGGGATATCAGACGGGTGACAGCAGTCCCTGGCGTGGCAGGAGCAGGGTGGCTCCTATCATCGCAGCCTCAACCTCAGAATTAAATCCAGGTGTTGGATGGCCCTGGGCTAGTGATCACAGGCCACCCATGCAGAAGAAAGGGCAGCAAGGAGGAGGGCATGATGGCTACCAGTCAGACAGCTGCCCTTCGGTCTGTCATAGGAAAAATCAAAGTGTCGGGGGTTATATTCTTTTGTATCTCAGTTGGATTACAGTCCAATCTAAGGGCCTCATTTTAACTGAATCACTTCTTTAAAGACTTTTTCTCCAAATAAGTCACACTCCGGGTACTAGGGGCTAGGACTTCAACATATGAATTGGGGTGGGGATATGGTTCAATCTATAATAGCTGCTGAAGACAAATTAGTATCTGACAGAGACTTTCTCCATGATGTCTTCTTGTGAGAATATGCTAGTGGCCAGGATTACTTGGGTCAGATTCTCCATGACACTGCTGACCAGAAGGCCACACAATTTGGTGGAGCTGGGTTGTGGAACAAAGTTGCCAGACAGAAAACAAGATGTCAAGTTATATCTGAAATTTGAGAAAACCATAATTTTTAGGATTCATACGCCCAAAAAGTATCTAAGTTGTATCTGAAATTCAGATCTAACTGGGGATTTTGTATTTTTGGTTGCTAAAATTTGGCAACTCAAGTCTATGAAGAAAATAAAAGAACTTTTCCTCATAGATATATATTATTTAAAAATTAACAGAGATGGCTTTGTTCATGTATTAGTCAGAGTAGTGGTTACAGGCATATAATTAACTTAAAAGTTATTTGAGTATTTATGTAGATATTGATAGATACTACTGATCAGATTAGGGTTGGTCACAATTTGGATAGTATTATGTCTGGATGATCCGTGCATGGAAGGTTAGGAATTTTCCAAAATAAAATTAGAACAGGATGGTGTGGGGGTGGAGTGCTGGCCAAATATGCCCTCCATTTGATCTCCAACGTCACAAAAATAAAAAGCTCAGAAAAACAAAAAAATGTGGGGACATTGTTTCCAAGCCTCAAGTGATCAGCCACTAGATGAAAGGATAGGCTGCAGGGAGGGAAGGCAGGAGTGTCAGCATGCCTTTTTGTCCCCAGGCGCCTGGCCAAGTCCACCCTCTTGCTGATCCCCCTCTTTGGGGTCCACTACACCGTCTTTGCCTTCTCTCCTGAGGATGCTATGGAGATCCAGCTGTTTTTTGAATTGGCCCTTGGCTCATTCCAGGTAAGCTTTGGAGACTGTGGCTAAAAGGAGAAGCTCTGTTTCCTTAGAAGAGCCCACAGAGGCAGCAAGCCAGAGCTTCCTGAGGTTTAGGCATGGCTTGGGCAAGGGACACCTCATTTGGCAGAGACCCAAGGGATGCAGGGGTGGGGAGGACCTGCCTGTGCTGTGTGACCCAGAGTGGGACATAGTTCCCAGTAGTCAAATGCAGATAAAACTAAAAGAGACTGACTCCAAGAAAAACACAAAGGCAAAGCCACTCTGTCATGCTGTTGCACAACTCTCTGTAGCATATACAGAGCCCCAATACATAAACAATCAAGGCTGAGCCATCAAAAAGGCAGGAAGAAGATGAGCCCTACTGGCAAGTGTTTGAAAGACTTCCCATCTTTGGACTGGGAAGTCCAGAGAAAATGTCCAAACTGAAAAACCCCCAAGTGGCAGCATCAGCATATTATTTAGAATCAGTTAAGCAGTTGTCTCTGAGGAACAGGAAATAGGGGTGTGGGTGTCAGGAGGCTGCTAGGTTTTAAAAATAAGAATCATTTGGCTTTTTTAAAACCATGAGCATGTGGAATTTATTAAAAATAAAAACTGACTTTAAAAAAAGAGGTGAAAAATCATCTACCTTTTAATGCAAAAAGATATTCTGATGGTAAGAACAAACAAAATGAAATATATTTAACTAGAGTAGAGTATTAATTTGAATCACAAACATCACGATGTTACTTGCCCACCTACCCTTAGCTATTTTATTCCAAAAGTAAGGTGATGTCACTTTTAGGAAAAAACATAAAAAGGACCCCTTACCTAAAGTAGACGAAGGATCAGTGAAAAAAAAGATTATAAAGCTAGTTGAGCTCCTACTCAGAAACAAATTCGGTCAAGTCTGGGGAGATGGGTCACCAGTAAGGTCTGAAGCTTCCCATAGCTCACAGCAAAGACAGAAACAATCTGTTTTGAGTTTTACATAGGCTGGGAATATAGCTCAGTCAATGGTACAGAGCTTGCCTAACATGCACAGGCCCTAGCTTCTATCCCTAGCACTGCAAAAGAATAAAAAGGAGAGCGGATCAAACCTATTACCAAAGGAGCTCCATGATTATAGGCTTTAGGGTCTGGGAGCTTTTCCCAGTGGGTTTTTTCTGAAGGAGTCAGCCTAACCTCCACAGCATCCCACACAATGGAACAACACTGTCCAGTGGAGCCTTCTGTACAGGAAGCTTCAGCCTTAGGGTAGAACTTCAAGCACATGCTTCTCCCTAGGATTCTGTGTAGATAACACAGCCAGGACCTCTACTGCTCATAGGTTCCAGAAACATCACTGGAACATATCATTGAGTGGACTCAGACCCAACCCCAAGGTGCACCCTCTGCTCTCATCTGAGCAGCTCCTTCTCCCAACAGAACCCTGATCTCCTCAGAGCCTGATCTCTTGTGTGCATAATCCACAGTTCTTTTCCTCTTGTCCAGGGAGCTTTTCCAGCCATTGATTGTATGTGTATGTTCAGGGAGGTGGGGTTTGCCATGACCCATTCAGCAGCTGGGACTTTTCAGACCCAGGTGGGTGGGAAGACTTGACCCCGCTCACACAAGTGGGTAGTGATCAGGTAGAGAGGTTAGAGACTCACATCAGCTTCACCATGTGCATGGGACTTCTTCCCTGGATTCAGGGTTTGTAGTTGGGGTTATAGGCTACTTAGGAGAAGGACATTTGGCTTCTGTCTGGGAAACTGTCAAGAGAAAAATCAAAAAAACTTTCTAAATGGTCCCATAGAAGTGCTTATGAAGGAAAAGGGATCATTAAAAGTTTTTATATGTTTATGTATATGTTTTTATATGTTAGTATATATGTGCTTATATATATGAGCACACATATGAAACACATATAATGTACATATACATATATGAAAATTTCTTCAGTATATCCAAAAATAAAGGAATAGAATAAACTCATATGTATCCATTCCTCACTTCAGCAACATGCAGTGATGCCCTATCTTGTGTCATCTCTATCCCTGCCCACCACCCCCATCTTACTATGTACATCCAAGACACTGTATTATTCCATCTGTAAGCATTATAGTGTGTATTTCTAAATGTAAGGACTTCAAGAACACACAGTCCACAGTCCATTATCATTGTCAAATAATTCTACAAACTAAAACACATGAAGTCTCTCTGATGGTATGAATAATACTTGCTTATTATAGATAATTTGGAAAATAAGGAAAAGTAAAAGAAAATTTTAAAATGGGCTGGGGTATCACTCCGTGGCACAGCACTTGCTTAATATGTACAAGGCTCTAAGTTAGATCCCCAGTGCTGGAACAAAAAAGGAAAAGAATCATCTATAATCTCATAACCCAGAAACAACTCCTTTTGAGGAAGACACAGACACACAGACAGACAAGACAGACAGACAGACACACACAGACACACACACACACACATACACACACACACACACAATTAGGATTGGAATGTGTATAGCTTTGTGTCCTGTTTGCTTCCATCCTCTCTCATGCCTGTCATGAATTTTTCTTCCTGTCATTAAAAGTCTGCAAATATCTTCATTTTTAATGATCACGTGATAACTGTGGAGTTTAGTGAACTTGGTTACTTACATATGCTTGGAGCACAGCTAACTTCCTCACTCAGGATTCCTGCCTCCCCTGAACAGTGAAAATGTGTTCTTGGATCCCAGGATAGGGAGGTCTGGGCAACCTGGGTCCAGCCTGACCACCAGCTCTGGGCCAAGCACACACACAGCTTTAGTTCTGCTGGAACCTTCTGTGGCTCAGCTTCCTCACCTGTGAATTGTGGGGAATCTGTCCCCTCCCATCTTCTACCCAAGGCTTTAAGTAGAGTGTAATGAAGGAACCCAGGGTGCCGCGATGACTCTGGCCAAGCTAGGCTGCAGATCCAAAGCTGTTATGTGCCTTTTCCTCTGACAGTGGTTCCCAGAGGATGAAGCCCACTCCAACCTTTCAGGGACCTATAAAAGCTACTCATCTCCCCCATCAGACTTTCAGGTGTGGGGTGCAGAGTTCAAAGTGGGGCTGAAGCTCCCTAGTGGGTCTAATGTGCAGCAAAACAGAAACTACAGCTCCAAGTAAGTACTCCCTGCCCCACAGATAGTTGCCCTTTTTTTTATGCTGCAGTCACTGATACTGAAATTCTCATGTAAACTTTCTACTTGTGTCACTTATTAAGATGCCAGTACCCAGGTGTGGTGTTAGGTCAGTAGTAGAGCATGTGCTTAGTAGGGTGAGACACTGGGTTCACTCCCCAGGGGGAAAAGACTAATATCCGAGTAGTGGGGACAGAAGGGCTGGTTTTGCTTTTGTTTTGTTTTGTCTTTCGGGTCCTTTCCAAAGAAGTAAATACCTAGGGCAGACCTTGGTAGGACTAAGGAAGAGCAGCCAGGCCACCTAAGGCTATAGTTATGTGCACAGTCAACTGCAAGGGACAGGGCTCACCAGTCGGGCTGCCTGCCAAGAAAGGGCAGGTGGAGGTAGGTCCCTGGGATGGAAGGGTCTGGACAGGCACAGATCTTGCCAAGTCAGGACATCAAGCCCTGACCGTGGAGATGTGCCCATCTGTCACCCAGGCAGGGAGGCCAAGCTGCACGTTGGTCTGTGCCCGGACATGGTTTGTTCTGACCATACATTTGTTCTTCAGTATGAATGAACTGTCCATGTTTCAGTGTCTCCAGATTTCTAGCTTATCTTCAAAATGAGACCACACAGTGCTCCCACTAGGCTGGGTCTGGCCCCTCATGGGAGGGTGGGAACATGCTTCAGGTGCTGGCGGTCCTGCTGCCCCCAGGTAGCCCACATTACTAATGCAAGTCACTGCCTACTGTCCCTGCCTCACTGTCACTGACTCCACACGTTTTGAGCCCCTGGTAGGCATTGAGGACAACTGATGAAAGGGACTCACATTTCACGCTGCATGGCATAGGCACAACCAGGGCACTGTGGGGCTCCTGAGGAGGTAATTCCCTAAGGTGAGAGAGGTGGTGAGCAGGGCACTTGGGCAGGAGAGGTGACAGGAATGAGCCGCAGGTCTAGCTGCTCAAGATGGACAGCGAATCTGCACTAACGCCTGCTCTTCCGGCAGGGGTTGGTGGTGGCCGTGCTCTACTGCTTCCTCAACGGGGAGGTAAGTGTCCTGGGAGGCCAGTGCGCTCCAGTGCAGAGCTGCTGGAGAGGGCGGGGGAGGGGAGTAAAGGGTGGAAGAGTAGGCTGGCTGTAGGGCACAGCCTGACCAGTCTCCCAGGAGTCTAGGCTCAGTAGGAACAGCAAGTTCACCTGGAGGGTGTGTTAACACTTGCCTGGCCCTGTCCCCAGTGCTCATTTAGCAAAAATGGGTTCTGTAGGTCTGGACAGGGGCCGTACTAACTATTTTAACAAGCATACCTGATGATTCTGATCTGTGGGTAAGTCAGTCCAAGAAACACAGGAAAAAGATGTAGTTCCCTCAAGCACAACCCAGGTTCCTGATTGTTCTGCTGCTTGCTGGATGGGGAATCAGGTTCACTGCTAAGTCTTCCCATAAGTGCAGTGGGTGCCTCCAAAGTGTCTGTGGCTCCGTCCTCCAAAATGAGTGCTGACTCCCTGGGGGCCTGTGCAGCTGCGTGGAGGACTCTGGCCACACACAGAGCATCTGGGTCAGGACACGAGCCTGCGGACACACAGAGGCCAGATCTCCAGCACCGTTTGCATATGGTGTTGCCCCTCTATCTGGTTCACCATACTTGAAGGACAGTGACCTCTGATGTTTTCCAAAAATCGGGCAGCAAGCCTGGCCTCAGAAGTTTGTTTGCCTCTTTGAGGTGGCACTGTAAAGATGGCCATAGAGCAACTCCATGGCTCCTGGATGGGTTCTGAGCTGGGCTGGCTGTGTGAAAATGAGCATCTAGTTATCTCAGGGTGGATCTGGACATGTGAATTCTGCAGTTGGGGAGACAAACCACAAACCTTTCCTGGGGACACAGCGTAATGGGATGGTAGGTGTGAGAGCCCAGGGGAGAAGGGGGTGGAATGGTTAGCTGGAGTGGTGAGGGAGGGGACAGCAGGACCAGCTGGGTAGGAGTGGCAGAGCCAGCATGGGGGCTCAGGGTGTGAGGGGGTGAGAGCTGGACTCCAGGCACCAGGTGACTCTCCCTCCCCATCTGATGGGTGGGTCTCGGGCAGGTGCAGCTGGAAATTCAGAAGAAGTGGCGACAATGGCACCTCCAGTTCCCACTGTGCCCCATGGCCCGCAACTCCTCCTTCAGCAATGGCACCAGTGACCCCACCCATGGCACCAAGGCCATGAGCAAAGCCAACCCTTCAGAGCAGAGCCGGGGCACCTGCAGGGCCAGCATCATCTGAGAGGGTGGAGTAGAGCTGCCTATGGACAGAGGTTGAGCCAGATCCTGAGAGGGCTGGATGCTGCTACGGGACCTGGAGGACATCCTGTGCTCCCTGTTGTAGCTGATATCCCCCCTCCCTCAGGCCTGGGAGTCCTCAGGACTGAGCAGAAGGGACTTGGAGCACCGTGGGACAGGACCAGGGCCTGGAACTTGGTCTGTGTTGCTCTTCTGGGAAGAATAGCTCAGGGGCCCAAGAAGGGCAAGGAAATAAATGGTACCCAGGAAGAGACTAAGTGTGCATTTATCAGGCTTTTCACCTTGAAACTCAAGGGTAGGGAGTATGCTGTGCCTCACTCCCTGGTCCCTTCCTACAGGGAAAAGGGGGCTTCTCTGGACCCCAGCTCATTTTCAAGGACAAACTTAGATGCTCAGAAAATACAAGAAGTCTGTCCCTCACTGCAACTCATCTGTTTCTCCATAGCATTCATGACGACAGCTAAATGAACCTGATAAAGTCAAAGGGAAGACCCAGGACCCCTAGCTTTGTTAGTGTCCTTGACATGGTGGGAGATACATGGGGTGGGCATGGCAGGGGATGGTACAGCAGGAAGTGAAGCCTACTCCCACTTTACAGATAAGAAACACACTCACCAAGGCACAGTGACTTGCCCAAGTTACTCAGCAAGGAGGTGGCTGTTCAGCTAGGGCCTTTTACTCCAAATGCATATGCTCCAAGGCTGAGTCTGAGCTTTCCCCTCTCCCAAACAGGAGTGGACCTGTCTCCTTGCACCACTAAGCTCCTGGGGACTTTGGTCTCAGCCTTCACTCTGGCTCTCAGTCCTCGTGAATATCTGTAGTCCCTGCCCCCACGTGAGGATGCAAGATAAATCCTTTACAAAATAAAACCTAGCAGTGCTTTGCTTAGAAGCAGAGACAGTGGAGTACATAGCAAAAAGCATCTGGCCTGGGAGTGGGCAGTTCAGCTCTATTCCTATCTTTCCCCTACAAAGTGGTCATCCTGTTGCACCTTACAGACTGCTGTGGATTCCTGTTTCCCAGATGAGGTCCAGCCTATGTGGGTGATGAGCTCTGCTCTCTGAAAATCCAAGCAGCCCACAGAAACTCTCAAGTGGGGCTAGGATGAGGCTTGAGGGTAGTAGAGCACATGCTTAGCACACACCAGTGGATCCCTGGTGCCATAAACAATAGCAACCAACATCTCAGGTGATTCCCATGGACTCCCTGCATCCTGGTTCAACCTCACATTCATTGCCTTGTAACCCTGCACCTTGGAATAAAGATTTTAAAAAAATCGCCATAGGCGGGCTGGGCCCTTCTGTGGCACATATGTATAACTTGAGAAGGCTGAGATGAGAGGGTCACTTACACCCAGGGAGACTTCATCTCAAAAAAAAAAAATCATCATAGAAGTGGTAGGTATTGATGACCAGGACAGGAAAGGACCTGCAACGACAAAAGTAGGGCAGAGACCAAAGTCCCATGTAATCAGTGGAAGGAAGAATTTACCACCTCGGGTGGTTAGCATAAAATGGTCAAAATCTTCACCTTCTCTAGGCAGAGAAAGGACCAAAAGGGGACAAGGTGACAAAAATGCAGATCTGCCCACAAGGATAAAATCTTCACTGTTTCTTAACCCCCTTGGCCTCCACTCATCCCCGGTATAGTTGTTAATCATTACCCAAAGGGCTGGCTACTCTCTGCACCCACTGTGGAGTCCAGCAGGTCCAACTATGTGCTTTTTAAAATGGTTCTAGGATCAAAAATGGCACTGAGGCCATCTGACCCTTACAAAAGCTACACTTGAAAGCAAGTGGGCCCTCGCACACACTGGCCTCAGGAGGACTGTGTTGCAAGTCAGCTGGCTACCTCTGGGAGGGCTTGCTCAAGGAAGCACTCTGCCAGGCAGAGCCCCAACAGACAACCAGCTTTGAGAAGCTGGGTTATCTGGGGTTTGTGAAATACCAAAGAGGGCAGGGGAGAAATCAAGTCAAATGGTTTGAAGAACTATTATGTGCAAGACATTCTACAAGTTTTCTGCAAGAGAAAGAAGTATTTACAAGGACCCTTTGAGCTGGGAGAAGAAAATGCTAGGTACTGACTGGTCCCTTAATTGGGAACAACACTCCAGATCCATTCTTGGAAACTTCAGAACCCCCAAGGATAACCCTGTACACAGTCAATAAAATCAGTGTGAACAGGGCTTGTCTCAGCAGACAGCCTGTGGACTAGTTACAGATACTTACAAATCAATCCCAGTCCAGGGAAGAAACTCAAGTTTTAATACTTTTTTCTTTTGAAGTCAACACCCTGATAGCTTGGCCAAACCTGTGCAGCTGGTGGCACTGAGGTACACTCCTGGCCTCTGGCCCTGCCAACCAGCTGCAGAGGGCCCTGGGCCATTTCTAGCAAACAACCCCAAGCTTCGTGGCTAAAAGGCAGCAGCAAGTCACGGTACCACCCCATCCCCACCAGAGGTCACTTGTTGGAAAATTTTCATGGGGCTCACGCTTTCTTGTCGAAACAGAGTTCTCCAGAGAGGGCCCTAGAGTTTCTTTAGTTGGTACCCGGGCTGGGTAATGCTGTTGATGTGAAGGCCACTGACAGCATTCAGGAAGAAGAGGAAAGAGGCAGTAAACTCACACCAAAACATCAACGTGAAGCCAATGAGCGTGACCTGATTCCTGAGAAGGATCACAAAACCCAAGAGTCCTGCAGAGGAGAGGATGAAGGAGACCAGCAGCAGGCAGGAACCGATGGCCCACTTGCGCCGAGAGTAGATGTTCTCACACACCTGGGACACCATGAGAAGCTCCAAGCCAAAGATGGCAGCCACCACAGCCATGGCACCCACACTGCGGGCCAGGCCCACACCCACAGCCAGCCCAGGCACTTGGGCCTGGCTCAGGTCTCGGAGGCAATGTGGCCTGCTCTGGTTGGTGATGGTGCAGAAGTGCCATAACCCAAAGAGACGGTCCTCATCCAGGAGCCAGTGGCCATCGCAGATGGAGATGGAAGAGAGGACCACCGCCAGGGCAGTGCACACAATGATGAGGGTCCGGATGAAGGACTCAAAGAAGGACCAGTGGGGCCTCCTCTGGCCCAGTGGCCTGTGGGACTGGAAGACACCAAAGGAAGCAGTGTCAGCAAGGACCCTGAGCCACACACTCTCCAAACACCCTAGGGAAGACCCCAAACATGCCCCAGAGCCCTGTCCTTTGCTTGGGTCTCACGGGAATCCTGGAACCCCACCATTAGCTCTTAGCTTCCACAACACAGACCCGCCTTCATTGAGGGGTGTCCTTTTTCCACCTTCCATCTAGACCTGTAAGCATTGGCTGTCAGAACCCAAGCAGGCCCTAATTATTCCCTTACCACTCTTCTTTTTATGATCTCAACAATGGGTGAACTTTCCAAATTAACCCACAAACCCTATGCAGTTCTTAATTTAAAGAAACCTGTCTTGCCTGACTTGCATAACCTTGAGCATGTAACCTGCCTCAGCTCCTTTGTACACAAAACAAGAACACTGCCCAGCAGGGCTACAGTGTTATATGAAGTAGTGAGCCATTAGCACATCCATACATAAGGTTATGTTTTCTTGTTCAGTGCACATCTAGTTTTATCCCAGCCCATACCCACTTGGTTTTGCATTTTCTATATTTGGTCTAGGACTCTATGTTATTATTTTGGTTTCCTGAATCCTGAAAGTGATGCCTACACCTTGCCCTTCAGCCTTATTCCGTCTGTGCACCACCCAGAGCTGGCTCCAGGCAGAAATTGCATGGCAGAAGGGCCCTTCTGCCAAGCTGTCTTTTAACAGCTTCTAGGCATGGAGAACCAACCCACTGGTCTCAGTATTGGAGGGGAGAATCTCCATCTCCTTGGTCTCCCAGTCTGAGAGTTTGGTGCGCAGTGTGCTATCTCCTGTCTCACTGACATAGCTCCCAACCCCTGACCCACAAAGACAAAGCAAGAAATCCTACAAAAACTAAAATTGCTTACTACGGCCACAGTCTCTAAGAGGCCCGCCTGCTCCCCTCTCCAAATTCACTTCCCAGTTTACTCTTCCTCTCACCATGCTCAGGCACCATGGCTGCCCTTTTACCATACCTAGAACTTTCTTCTTTCAGACCTTCTGGCCCCTCTGCCCAACAGACTCTCCTGTAAGTGTCCTGCCTCTTAAGGACAATTCCTTTTCTCCATCCTCTGAGACTTTATTTTTTATGGTACTGGACTGAGCCCAGTACTTCCCATTGAACGACATTCCCAATCCTTTTTAAAATTTTTTTAATGTTAAGACGGCGTCTTGCTAAAGTGCTAAGTTCCCAGACTCAAACTTATGATCCTCCTTCCTCAGCTGCCCAGAGTACTGGGATACAGGCATGCACACCATGCAAAGGAGCCTCGTTGCAGAGGCCTTCACATTCATCCAGCCTAGTGCAGTCTCTATTGGAGTTCTCTGTCAGGCACCCTGTTTGCTTTACCATTCTTATCTGTATTGAAGTGACATCTTATCTGCCTCACCTGGACACTGTCCTCCAGAGGGCAAGGCCCTCGTGTCCAGGCACTGTGTGTCCCTGGTACCTGGCACAGTGTTTAACCTGTGCATTCAGACCATGCTTGAGGAAGACCCGTGGGTGAGGGAAGGGTCACTTCCATATGAAGCTCCTTTTATACATTCTCCTGCGTTAAAATACCCTTTATAGTGTGTTTGGGAACAGGTTATACCCTTGCTTTGGGAGGTAAGCAAAGCATACAGTCCACATGTGCAGTCACTGCTTGGAAACTAGGAGACTGGAGAAAGGGGGCCTTGACACTTCAGGGGCAAGTGTGGGCCACACCTCTCAATGGAGACTCTGGGCACAAGGCAGAGCCTGGCTCCTGGGAGCCTCTGTGGTCAGGGTCCTCGCAAAGCTGTCTGTTAGGGTGTCCTGATATAGAAGGTGCCTCAGTTCAACAAGGGATACAGGAATACGGATACGGTTTGCTGTCAGCATGTCTGCCTAGGTAGCAACCTATTTTTTTTTCTTAAACCTATGAGGTTGGTAGAGGAGGAAGCTCCATGGAGGGTATGTAAAGAAGGAAACTGTGTCACGCACATGGCAGGTGACTTGCCCTGAATCCCAGTCATGCCTGTTACAGCTCTCCAGACAGCTGTACAGTGTGTGTTATGGTTTAGATCCAGATGTCCCCCCAAACTCTCATGGGCTCAGAGGCAGGGCTTTTGGAAGATGACTGGATCGTGGAGATGCTATTCTCATCAGAGGATTCACCCTGTGAGGTCAGTAGCTGCATGTGCTGTTAGGAAGTGCTTAGAGGCAGGCCACTGGGTGTGTGACCTGAAAGGTGTATCTCCCTTGCTGGATCCTCCTTTTGCCTTCTGTTTCCTGGCTGCCATGGGATGGATGAGCAGCTGTCTTCTAACTGGGCCCTTCTGCCATGCAATTTCTGCCGGGAGCCAGCCAACCATGGACTGAAAACACGAGCCAAAATAAACCTCTCCTCCTGTAAGTTGTAGGTGTTGGGTATTGTGTCTCAGCAACAAGGTAAGTGATAAAGGCTGTGTGCAAGAGGTAGAATCTACTTAGCTAAGAACTATCCACTGGTACCTTCTAAGTACAGGGCCTTGGGGCCTTGGTGCTAGGGGCTTGATGCCACTGTGGAAAAAGAGGATGAGCACAGAGGGATGCCCAAAGTTCCACGCCAGAACTAGGCCCAGTACTTCTAGGGTCCTAGGGTGCTGCAAAGAGCACCCAGGTAGGAGTGTGGGCTGTTGTCCTCAAACTCTGTCCCCTGGGCTCCTGGAAGGGCTCCAGGTACTGCAGCAGGGAAAAGTACTGCAGTAGGGAAAGCTGAGCAGCCTGGCTCTGGGTGCTCTTCCTCTCACTTCAACTAAAAAAGTGAGGGCCAGGGATGTAACTCAGCAGTGCAGAGCCTGCTTGGTATGCACAAGGTCCTGAGTTTGATCCCCAGCACCAAAAAAAAAAAGTGGGATAAAGGAGTCTGTGTTGCATTGCATTTCATTAGGGAAAAGAAAGAGGCTCTGCTGGTAAGAAACACACCCAAGGAAACTTTGAACATTGTGCCTCCAAGTCTACAGCACCAACTAAGAGAGAAGGTAGTTTCTTAACCTGTTCAGCCCTCAGTTTCTCATCTCTCAATAAAGTTGGTGACACCTGTAGGACAGCAGTGACCCTGAGGAAGCTCAAGGTTACAATGTCCCCAGAGATTGATATGGCCGGAGATGGAAAAGCCCCAGTTGCAGGAAACAAGTCACAAGACCACAGGACCCATAAACCTTTTGACCCTAGACACCACACTGGAAAACAGGCACGTCCTGTGCCTTCCTCAGCCCCGCCTCTCTTGGGCCCAGACTGGACTTTAATCTCCAGGCCATAAGACATCACCTGGGATCACAAAGAGAAAACAGCTCATCTCAGTTCATCCCTGCCCCTGCTGACCCCAAACAGGGCTTCAATTAAACTCTGAAAATCAGTAAAACTCCCAAGGATTAAATGAGATCGTGTGAACATAAAGACAAATGGCATGTAGACAGCTTTCAATTTGGAGGAGTGACTAATATGAGTAACAACAGTGCCCATTGGAGTCTTCGTTCCAAACCACCTGGCACCTCACATCCTTGCTGTTGGCACCTCACCAGCGCTCAGTGATCAGGAACCAAAATTCCCTCCTGGGGCCAGCTTGGCAGCAGCAGCTCATTGGAAAGGCAGGAAGGAGGGGAGGGAAGAGAGAATGCCAGTCTCTAGCCCAGGGGCCCCAGCACTCTACATGAGAACTATCTCTTCCATGTCAGGGCTGTGATTTCTTCCATAGATTAAAAAAAAAAAAATGCATGTTTCTCTTTTTCAACTGTGATCCTAGGGGAGTCCTAGTGAGCTGTGAAACAAGGAGCCTTAAACACTAAAGGCCAACTAAGTACCAGGCCATGTTCATATCTTCCCCATAACCCAGGGCCTCACATGCTCCCCTCAACCAAGGGCAGCCCCTAGTGGATACGCTGGGCTTCTACCCATTTCTCTACCCCCAGTACAGCTCCATAGGTCCTGTCCCTCAACACCCACTCTGCCCAGGCCCAGGTCACACCATCACCACCATCACTGCCACCATCATTCTGGGACGTCTTCCACAAGTCAGCCCACCCACCTCGGCTTTCAGCCTGGGTCTGGCCCTCCCACCTGCTTAAGCTTGTTCTTAGCTGCGTCCTTCGTCCCCCTGCCCTGCTCACTCACCTACAAATGGACACAACAGTACTTACTTCCTAAGGTTATTTGTGGAAATGAATCTATTGGCTAAGTGCTCCTGCGTGTGGGGGCAAGTACCAGGCTGGCCCAGTCCTCCGCCCTCGCTGGGCATCTGTTACCTCCCCCAGCTCAAAGTACCACATCCTCCACCTCCTGTGGACAGCTCAGCTCTTTTCACCTGGCTCTGTCCTCCTCCCCCTCCTTAGCCCAGCTCCAAGTGCTCCTCTTTCTCCGGCCCGGCTGAAGTTAATCCTACCCAAGGCGTTTGCACGTCTTAATTTAGGCTCACTTCCCCCATTCCGTTCCTTGTTTACCAGTCTCTTTCCCTCCTTAGCCAGATCCTAAACTCCTCCCGAGGAGACCACACCTGGTCCCACCCTCCTCCCCACCCGTCCGTCCCCTTCTTCCCACTGGAGCTAAGCCTCAGGACAGAGGAGGAATTCATTGAATCCTGTCCCCTGGGCCATCCTGGTTAAAAGGGACTTGGGGGTGGCCGTCATTCTAAGAAGGGCAACCAGGATTTGGAGGCAGGAAGTCCTGAGTTTGAATCTTTTTATTTTATTTATTTAATTTAGTACTGGAGATCGAACTTGGGACCTTGAACTTGTGAGGCAGGCGGGGAACCACTGAGCTAAATCCCGGCCCCTGGGTTTGAATCTTGACTGTCAGTCAGCTGGACAATGTGGATAGGTTACTTGTGAGCCTCAGTTTCTCATCTGTAAACTGGGTAGAGCCAAGGCAGCTGGTGCTCAATATGATCCTAGCTGCTCCTTAGGGAGAGGCAGGAGGATCACTTGTGCCCAGGAGCTGGAGATTAGCTTGAGAAACAGAGCAAGACCCTATCTCAAATAATTATCATAATAAAAGCAGCATAACAGTATGTCACATTATCAGTGTCCGGAGGCTTGAGCACTTGAAGGCAGTCGTCTCATAATCATTAGGACGAGACAGTCTAGTGGCTCCCGGGCCCGCCCGCCACCCAGGCACCGCGGGCTTCCCTTCCGACTAGCAGGAATGTGTGGGTCCTTGGCCAACATACACGTTTTGCTCTGCTCTAAGAAGCCAGCTCTGCGGGGAAGTGCACCTCTCTTCGCTGGAGCCTCTCCTCTGGAGTGTGAAACCCCCAGCGAGTCCGCCCGCACCCCGAACCCCACACGCGATTCTGGGGAGATGGTCTTTCTAGGACCCGCCCGCAGAAGTTCCAGCTTTCTAAGACGCGTCCCGTTACATAAGTCCAGTGTAACTTTGCAAGTCCATTCTGTCCTCCCTCCCCAGGCCCAGATGCCTCCTTTTTTAAGGCGGGATCCCTCGGCTGAACTCAATTGACAGTTCGCGGGCGACCCCGAAAGAAAGCGGGAAACCCTCCCCGGAACGTTTGGGAGGCGGGGGTGCTCACAGAAGCTGGGGTAGGGGTGGGGGCGGGTACTGCCCACCGAGCGCAGCGTTGGGGGGCGAGCTCCCCCAGATCGCTTCCCTCGGAGCCTCTGGGGAGCCCGCGGGCTCGCGTGAATGTGGGTGCTGGACCCCATCCTTTTCCCTTCTCCTCCCGCTCGGACCCGCGCTCGGGGTACCTGCACGCCGATGGCGGTCATGCTGCACTCCCTCCCGCCGCTC